TCTCTCATCCACTTCTCACCCTCTCATGAGTTCCTGACCCCTAGGAAGTCCCAAAGCTATGGAAGAAATCCTCACCCTCTTCCTTGTCCAGTAGCACAGCCATCTGTCATTTGAATCCTCGTACATCACAAGCACTCCAGCCTTCTGAACTTTGAGTCCTGCCTCCCTCCCCCTTTATATTTCTGTAATTGGATTCTGCCCAAAAAATGATGCCACAGAAGCTTTCAGGCCACCAAGCTCAGTAGTAGAGTGGTGTGGGCATCCCTGAGAGCACATGTGTAATGGTGCCAGTTCACCCCAGTGTTGGGAGAGTCACCCTGGTGACATTTCATTGTAATGTGCTTCCCTGGGCAGTGGTTAAAATGATTTTGAAAAGATCACTGTGGTGTGGCACAGAGGCAAAGAATTTCAGAGACCTGTGACTATCATGCCAGGCAATGGAGTTAAAAACCATTAAAACGGCCAACTCCCTTGGAAGAGCTCTCAGGCTTTTAAGGCCTGGAGAGGCTTGTCATCTGTGATGGGTAATCATAATGTCAACCCAATTGGTTGACAGCTGCCTAGGAGATTAATGATGCACACTTCTGAGTTGTGAGAGTTTTTGCAGAGATGGCCGGCGTGTAGGACAGCAAACTGACAGGGAAGACGTGCCTGGCTCTGGGGACCATGCAGAGGGTGGGGGCTCCCAGTGAAACAAAAACAGAAGGAAGAGGAAGCCCACCAGCTCAAGCGCTCTGTCTCTGCCTCTGTCTTTTCTTTGTCCCTCCCTCCCCTCCCCTCTGGCTCACCTCTCCTCTCTCCTTCTTGACTGCCACAGGTGAGCAGCTGTCCTTTGACACCTTCCACCATGATGTTCTGCCTCACCTCAGGCCTAGAAGCAATGGCGCCAGCTACCATGGACTGAGACCTCCAGTACAATGAGCCAAAATAGACCTCTTCTCCTTTAAGTTGTTTTTCTGGAGTACGTATTTTGTTACAGGGATGAAAATCTATCACTAAACCTTACTTTTTGAGGGATTGTCCTGCTTTACTACAGCATCTAATTGTTCTTGGGCATGTAGCTTGATCTGTTGCTTCTCAGGAAGATGGCTGGTCTTCAGTGAAGGAGGATTAAGTGAGGTAATTCTTACAATGCAAGGAGTTCAGGGACCAGCACTAGGCATCCTTCACCTCCCCCCAGTGTGGCTGAAGGAATTTTTGTTACACGGTGCTTCTGACCTGAGAGACTCCTAGTGGAGGCCACCTTCCAGCTGGGTGGCGGCTGGGTGGCTCCCTGGATCTCCCGGGACCTACTCCCTGCTGTCTTCTTCTACCAAAAGCACTCAGCTCCCAAACCCAAAGCGAATCCTCCCCTGCCAGCACCATAGAGTTTTCCTTTAGGTCAGAAGTCACATGATCCAGGAAATCTGCCCTTTTTGCCTTTTGTGTTGCCTCTTCTTGGTTTTGTTTTTTGTTTTTTGACATAGGGTCTTACTATGTAGTTCCAGCTGGTTTTCAACTTACTATGTAGTGCAGAATATCCTTGAACTCACAGTGATCCTTCTGCCTCAGCCTCCTCAGTGCTGGGTTACAGGTGTGTGCCACCTTGCCTGGCTTTTGTCTTTGGTTTGGTTTTGTTCTATCTTTTCATCTTTATGTTTCCAGGGTCCAGTACAGGGCCTGACATATAGTAGGTATTTACTACAGGTTTGTGAAAGGAGAGAGGAGAGTCCAGCCTGGGGGGGTCACTTGAGAAAGCCACCCCTCCCCTCCCATTCCAAACAAAGCCTGGGTGTAGGTTGGAGGATAATTATTTTTTTTTTAACTCTCACACAAACTTTCCTGAAGGATGTAAAACAGGCCCCTGTTTGTGTAGGATGAGGGAAGTCGGGGCCAGCCCTCCAGGAAAAGGTATGCAGTGGGCCTTGTGACCTGCTCAACACAGCCAGGCCAACTGGAGAGAGAGAACCAGGGACCAGGCCTCTGGCCTGGAGAGGTTCTTGGTCCCAATGAACACTCCAGCTTCGGGCCTTTGCTTTATCCCAGTGGAGGCAGATGGGGTGGTGTGAGTGAGTCGCTGTGCTGCAGTCTTCCCCTGACTATTTCACTGTGTGCTCAGAGAGAGCTCAAAAGGCTTCCTTCCCCAAGGGGATACAGCCGGTAACCAGGCAGGACTGAACCGAGCTGGGCTGGCTCTGACTGTCTTGCCTTGATCCTCTCTGTTCTGTTGCACCTCCATCCTTGTACACAACAGCCCTCCGTCTCCTCTTCCTTCCCACTGCTCCACCCAGCTCTTGCCCTCCGTGCCAACCCCAGTGTATGTATTCAACACCTTCTATGCTGAGCATGATATGGCCTCACTTAAGGCCCTGAACCTCTCTGAGCCTCAGTTTACCAATCTAAACAGGGGGATAATGATACTGGTGATCATAATCTCTATGTGGATTTGCCAGTGTATGCAAAGGACCCAGCACATGCCTGGGGCCAGCAAGAGTTGCTTGGTCCCACCTCTTCTCTCCATCTAAGTCCTTATAATGGTAACAATGGCCAGAAGAAGATGGGACCAGTGTTGCTCACTTGTTTTACAGTAGAAGAAGCTGAGGACCAGAGAACACAGATGCCTTGCCCAGGGGAATGCTGTGCACTGTCTGTGGAGACCCAGTGTACCCAGGGTCCTTAGGGCCCACCCCTGACACTTGGAGCCAACAGGCTGAGTGGACTGCCCCCTTCTCTCCACTTGTAGGGAATCTCCGGAGCTCAGCGGTATATACACACAGGCTAGGGAATATGTATGTTCAACTTTATTTCTCTCCATGCCAAGAAATACAGAATCACTGGTGCGTGCAGTGCTGGCAGGAAGAAGGGGTAGTTCTTACTGCTCTTTAGGGGGCCAGGAGAAAGAGTGATCAGTGCCCTAGCCAGGGAACCACTGTGTTCATGTGGCAGGTGATTGGATCTAAGGCAGAGCTGGGACAGCCTGGCCACCGCCCCTCCTAGCTTCAGTCAAGCTGCCTGAGGCTCAGGGCAGCAGCAGCCTTCCATCCATTTCCTCTCATCCAGGACTCTGCTCTTCCTGCCTCGCGCTCCCCCTGCCCAGGCACCGGCCTCGGGGATCCTCTGAGCCATGTCCCTGGCACCAGTAGGAAGCTCTCAAGTTGTGCTTGAACTCGAACAGGGCCCAGCGGAGCCTTTCTTGGAGCTGTCTGCTGGTGGCTTCACCTGAGCACAGGCCTTGAGTGTTCTGGGCTTGGAGTGTAGAAGATTATGTATATGTGTGAAAGGGCATGCGCAGTGGGCCTGATGTCAGGTGTGACTGAAGCCCGGGAGGACCTGGCTGTGAATGCACTCCAGGAGCACAGAGGCTGCAGAGTGCTGCCTCTGCCTTGGCCTCACCATGTGACTATCCCTAAACCACATGGTTCCTTTCCTTCTCCTGAAAGGGCTGATAAGCTGGGCTAAGGCCCAGTGGGAGACCACCAGCGCATGATCCCACAGCCCTGTCACCCCTGCCTGACCGGACCTCCCGAGTGACACAGATAATCTGTCTGCTCCCCCCTTCCTTCCTCTCCCAGCAGATGGGAATATCTCCGTTTTGTCTTCAAAGATCTCATGTGGCAAACCCAAATAAGTCCCTGCTTTAGTAGCAGGAGAGGCTGGAGTTTATCCCTTTGTCACTGGGGACTGATATAGGAACACCAGCCCCAAAGCCCCTGCTCTCCCAGCAGGCACTTGGGCCGTGTCTAGAAGGATCAGAGCTGCCAGTGTCTCAGAACCCAGAGTTCCTCCATACCCACAGCCTCTGAGAGGGTACATGTGGGACAATGGCCCTGGAGAGGACAGAAGGGTCTTGGTGGGTAGGGGAAAGACAGAGCTGGCCAACCTCAGGACAATATGTTTGTGGCTGAGAATCTTCTCCCCTGAGAGCAGCCACTGTGGCTGCAAGGTGGGGAAAGCTGGGGGATCCCTCTCTAGGTCTGACTTGGAGCTGGCGGCATGCAGGAAGAGGGACCCTGTGGGTACAGCCTTGTGAGGGAGAAAGCTGGGGAGAATCAAGGATGTAGGAGCAGGCAGGAGGCAGAAGGCCCTGCTCAGTAGCTTCTGGGCATCCAGCCCTGTGCTTCCAACAAGCAAGCATCTTCCACACTCAGGCCTCCCCCTCTCCAAAGACGGCACCTTCGGCTACGCTCTTCCCTCTGTTTTAGGGCTGAAGACTAGAGAAACAGCAAGCCTTCATATAAATACCCTGTCCCACTCCCTGGCAAACACCCATAGCATTCCCAGTTAATGCCCCAGGCTGCGGCATAAGTGAAGACCAAGAGGCAGGCTGAGTGGTCCTGGGAGGCACAAAGAGACCAGAGTCTTCTGCAGAAGACCTCTGAGGCTGAAGAGTTTGGGAAGAGTATCATGCTGCCCTGTGCATCTTCACCAGTGTTCCTCTCAGGGCCTCCGCCTCGAAATGGAGGAAGTACCTGCAGCTGCTGCCTCTTCCCAGGCAGCTGTGCATCACCCACAGGCCTGAGGGCATCCAAGGCACATGCCGAGTGGCAGCCTTGCTTTGAAGCTCAGGCTGGGATCGCGGCAGGCGTGTGGCACAAAGCATGCGAATGGTGTTTTCTCCCTCTCAAGAAAAATACAAAAGATGAAATCCCGTGTCTTTGCTCCTGGTCCACAGCTGTGAAGGTCCAGTGATGTTTCTTCTCCTACCAGAGACAGACTTGTTTGTGAGGCTGGTTCTTCTCATTCTGGCAGTTTACGCTGCTTGGTAGGTCCAGGAAATTGTACAGATGAGAAACAGCCCAGAACATCGTGGCTGAAGTGTCAGGATGTGTCCATGAGATTAACCTACATCGTGAATGGGTTCCACCACAAATTTCTTTCCTTCCTTCTTTCCTTCCTCCAGATCTTCCCATCTGCTGTGGGCTGACAATGGGATGACTTGGGAGTTGCCCTCCAAGTTTGTGCTTTTGGAGATGGGGGGACAGATGGGCACGTGGCAGTCGCCGTCCTGTCCTCCCCTGGTGTGCAGGGTGTGTGGGTTCAGAGCTCTCCCGCTGGCCAGCGCACGTCTCTGCTAGCACAGCTGCCTGGTTACATGTGTTTCGGAACTGTAAAGCAAAGAACAGTAATGGCAGAGCAGAGCGCAGAACATTGGCTCTCAGACTCCTGATCTGAGTTTGGTTTGTGGGAAGTAGTAATAGGATAATGTACGGGATCAAGGACCTCTTTGGTTTGGAGTTCTTGGTGGAACTAAATTTCTGCTGGTGAGAACACTGCAGAATCCCTGCTGATCCTGCCTGGGCCAATCAGAATCTGTCCTGGAACAGTTGCTATAGCTGCTAACACGAAGGCCCTTCTCTTTTTTCCTGAGTAGTTCCTGGACTGTTTATAAAGCAGAGTCAGACCCATTACTTTGAACGATGTTTACAAAACCTTTCCTGCTGGAGGCTTTCTCCTGGCACTTGATATCTGAAAATACTGCGCTCAACCAACCAGTTTTCTGGAGTGGGAGGGTGGGGCTGGGGCCCGCACCTGCTGTTCCTTCCCCAGGGGCCCCTTCTACTCCGTGCTGCTGCTCCTCACCTAAGAAGTTGATAGCCACAATGATGATGACGATCCCCAGGATGATGAAGCTGATGCTGAGCAGCCGGGCCAGGCGGCCCAGCCTCCGGGCCCCGTCCATATCCCCATGCTGCATGCTGCTTCGAGACTGCAGAGAGAGGAAAACAGAGACCTCAAGAAGCCTTCCATCAGTACAAGCTTGGTGGATCCTATGGATGGGTTTCCAGGCACGCCCCACTCCCACTGCTGCTCCCACTGCAGGCACCCTCCTAAGTGAAAGGAAAGATCCTTCTGGAGAAGTGACCTGGCCTCTTGTGAGGACCTGTGACCAAGCCTAGGCTGTGTTCACTGGCAGGATACAGCTGCAGTGCAATTCAGCCCACTTCCTCTTGGGCTAGCAAAGGGGCAGGGCAGTAATGGCAGGTGGTGTGATAGAGAGCCAGGGACCCACAGGCCTAGTCACCTTGCAGGAGCAGGTAGAGCAGGGCCCTCCAGACTCTGGCCCAGGACTCTGCTGCAGGCCCTTTGGCACCTGAAGACAGCCACCGGGCTTTTCCTGCCCTCTTTCCTCTGTGAACCTCCCACCTGCCACAGAAGAAAACAAAAGCATTGTCCTCGCTCCTTCTATTTTCTACCCAAGACCATGTCCTTGTTCTACCAATCTCACCTCCTGGATCACACAAGACAGACAAGGGATCATGAGTGGGGAAGGCTGTCGCTGGAGCCTAGGAACCCTGATCTGCACATTGCTCTTTGGTGAGCTATTTCCCTTGGATTTAGTTAATCTCAGGAAACCAGGTGGATACAAGAGGGGAGGGGGAAATTAAGAACAGGGAGGGGGCTGGGAGATGGCTCAATGGAATAAGCGCTTCCATGGCAAGCACAAGGGCCCGAGTTCAATTCCTGGTTCTGCCAAAAAAAAAAAAAAGAACAAGGAGGACCTTGGGATGTTCTCAGGCACCTTGGTTGCCTAAGGGATGGTCTAAATATTTGCAATGCTGGCCTTGTGCCCCTGCTCAGAATGACCAAGAGTCACCTGCTAGTTAGGGCTGTTCCAGTGACCTCAGTCTCTTACTCTAAAATCCATCTGTTCTTCTCAGGCTTCTGGATCTTGTCTCAGCTCCATGAGGAACTGGCTCAGGCAGAAGAAGCTCAAGCATGACTACTTTCAGGGCCTCAGACCACATACTTGGTTATTTTACATTCTAATTCTTAGAGGCTCCGGAGTTCAGCATGAAAATGTAGTTAAGTACTTTGATGACAACAACGACAGTAGTGGGGGTGGTGACTTATCGGGCCCTCACTCTATGCCAGGCAGCTTGCCAAGGACAGTACCCAATGATCTCATTCAGCCTCACAGTCACGCCGGGCAGCTGGCAGTGCTGCCTCTTCAAGATGCTTCCAGCTCCAAGCTATTGTTCTTCATTCTACTGCCCAGGACACCATTTCACATCGCAGATACTTATACCAGGTACTGTGCTAGGCTCCCAGAACAGAGTAGTACGCAAGACAGGCCCAGTCTCTGTGCTCATGAAACACACAGCCTGTTGGCCTTTACAGTCACACAAATGAAGGCAAAAGCACCACCGTGGGTGGTGTGAACAGAGCAGAGACATGGTACTGTGAGAGTTTATGAAAGGAGAGGATCGGGAAAACCTTCCTGAATGAAGGACTCTGGAATTAATGTGAAGGATAAGTAAGAATTAAATATATTCTTTTTCAAAAAAATTCAGGTAGAGAGCTGGCCAGATAGCTCAGCAGATTAAAGTGCCTGCTTAGGCAGACACTGAGACCAGGGTTCAATCCCAGGTGTGCCCTGCCAGCCCTGCCCCCGGGGCACACTGAGACTGCAATTGAGACTGGGCATGGTGGCATGCACCTGTAATCCCAGTGCTTGGGAGGCTGAAAACAGTAGGGCTTTGCTGGCCCGGAAGGAGGAGGTTGCCAGGTATGGTGGCACATGCCTGTGATTCCAGGGCTCTGGGAGGCTGAGACAGTCATAGGTTTGAGCCCAACCTGCATAACTTGGTGACTTAAATCCTGTTTCAAATTTTTGAAAAATGTAAAAGGAACTGAGTATGTAGCTTACTGCAAAGGACCTGGGTTCAATCCTCGGTGCTGGAAAAATAGACAAATAAAAAGGAAAGACATCTTTGTCCAAGCAGGAGAATGAAATGATGCCAGGTTTTACAAGGCCTCTCTGGCTGTGTGGGGACCAGAGGGGAGGCAGGAGCAAACAGGGACCATCAGCAAAGTGACGCTGGTGAGGCAGTCTCATCTGCTTAGTGTTTGGGTTCTCCATTATCTGAAGAACAAAGACTGAATGTAGAGTAGCTTAACACTTCCTGAATTCAATCCTCTACTCTCTTCCACAACCTCTGGGCCCAGTCAGTCTGAGCTGCCATGTTTTACCCCTGACATCTGTATGCCCTTGCTCCTTTCTACATTCCTGCTGCCCTCCAACCCCACGTATCCAATTCCTTCGCACTGCTCAAGGGCCGGCTCAATGCCACCTTTCCTGGGAAGCCCACCATGATTCCTCTACCTTTGCTGGAATAATGAACTCTCACATTATATGGGTTTTTACCTTGTGCCAGAAACTACAGCATAGTTTGTCATCTACTAGGGCACTGAATCCTCTAAACTATTGTGAGGCAGGGGTGGAGCCCGGCACAGAGTGCTGGTGGGCATGGTGAGAGATGCAACTGGTGCCTCTCCTAGAGTGGGAGGAGGCCCACTCAGTGTCAGTGCTGATGCGGAGGTGTCAGGCACTATGACTATGTCCCTGCAGTGTGGCCAAAGGGAGTCATTGTAGCACAGAAAAAGAGCAGAAGCTCTAGGGTGGATGAGTCCAAGAGGGAAGAGAACAGCCCCACAGGCAAAGCTGTGGAGACACCCGTAGGAGGATGCTGGGAGAAAAGGAGGCTGTGAGGGCAACTGGGGAGTGGTCAGAGGGTGGGAGACGCTGGTACCTAGGAAGTCCAAGATGGAAATTTCAAGGGAAGAGGTCCTCTAGTAACTTCTCATGAATGGAGATCAAGCTAGATAATGGAGAAGGTGAGAGGGATGCAGGGACATCGGTGTCCTTGCAGAGAAGAGTTCAGAGCAGTTATGGAAGGAGGTGGGGTGCCATGAGGAATGAGCAGGATGAGCAGGCTTAACAGCCCCAAGAGGTTTAGCAGTAAATGGGGCAGAGTAGCTTCAGCAGGATGAGTCAAGTAGGGGACTTTATCAAGGGGGCAGGAAAAGACCTCACACAGGAGAAGGTGATTAGACCAAAGAGTGATTGTTGCTATCCCATGATACACCAGGGCAGCAGAGAGAGGCTGAGGTCTAGACCTGGGGCCAGGGATGAGCCTCAGGGCTCTTAGGGACAGTGGACCAATGCCATCCAGTAAGAGGAAAGGGAAGGCCAGTATGGCTTGGGGAGGGGCATGGGTGGGCTCATCTGCAGCCTCTGGAGATGCGAAGGACCCTGCCAAGAGCAGTTGCAGCCTACAGCTCCTTCAGAGAGCAGTCTGACTCTACCATCTGACTAGCTGGGTGCCTGCCCTGACCCCTTCATTCACACAGTGATGCAACTGTGGGCAAGTGGCTTACCAGTCCTATGCTTTAATCTCCTCATCTGTAGCATTAGCATGTTTAGGGTCCTGGCCCTGAGCTTAATTCCCAGCACAACTAAATACTTTTAAAGCACTTACTTCATTAGGTGCTTTGAAGAAGGAACTAGCTAGCTCATGGTACATTTCCTGTGGCATCTTGCATCATTCCTTTTTTATTATTATTCTCTTACCATCCTGCCATTTTTTTCTTGTGCCCCCATCATTTTCCTTTTCTAGCCTGCAGGATCCTTGAGGGCAAGGACTGTGCAACCTCCCTCTCATTACCCCTCACACCTAAGTTAGTTCTGGATCTCAATATGGCATCAGCAAATGTTTAAGGAATAAATAAACGGAGCAAGAAAAAGATGGAGAGTCTGGTTTTTTAACCACCAAACTTAGCCAGTGGAATGTTCAAAGTTAATAGAATATGAAAGAAGTGAAGATAACAGGTCCCCTGGGAAGATACCTGGCATCTGGGTTTGGGACCCAACCACTCACCTATACTGCCTCTAGCCCCCTGCATGGCCAGCCCAGGTCACTGAACTTGGGACTTCAGTGACAAGGCAGCATTTGGAGCAAAGTGGGGAGCAAAAGGGGACAACAAAGTCTTTAGTCTCCTAAGAACTGGAAGTTGTGGGCTGCTATGACTTATGACCAAAGGACAAGCCAGCTTCAAGCAGGAGGAAAACAGCAAAATCTGAGATGAGACCAACTTGACTTTCCAGACAAACAACTACACACAGCGATGGTTCAGGACCACGGAGAGAGGCATACGGGCATTTGAGTAAGAAAGCGAAAGATCCACCCCAGGCCCCCCACCAGGCCATTCTCTCCTTTACCCAGAGCCAGGAGTCCACTTATCTGTCAGGCATGTGCCTTTGGGTCTGAGTGAGACCACTCAAATATCCCTTGTTGAGGTTTAGCACAGTTGGTCAATGAGTGGATTAAAGCTACTGTGGAAAATGTTTACACTACATCAATTAAAACAGGGCATGGTGGCACACAGCTGTAATCCCACCCCTCCGGAGGCTGAGGCAGGAGGATCACTGTGAGTTCAATCTCAGGCAGCTGGACACCACCCCAGAGGGCATTATGAGAGGTGAGACCCAGTTATCCCAAAACTGGTTAAAGCCAGAATTGCCCACCCATGAGGGATTTGCCCATTCCTCTGACACGGCAAAATTTCATTTGGCATTCATCATGTCAGCAACCCCTTCCATTTACTAAATGTTTCCTATGTGCTAGGCTCTGTGCTGAGCATTTCACACACATTAGCTCATTTAAGCTTCCTGGCAACTCTAGGAGGTAGATGGGTTTTATTGTGTCCATTATATAGATGAGTAAAGTGAGGCTAAGGAAGGAGACTGAGTGGCACAGACAGACATGTGACTTATCATGAACAGAGCTGGGGTGCAAACTCATCTGTCTGATATTTGTTTCACCACTGTTGGGCAGAAAGCCTGCTGCTGGAGTCCAGGCCCCTCACTAACAGGAGACCAAGTAAGGCCACAGGAACATGGGCATTTCTAAGCATGACTTGGTAGTA